TGGCCCGCGTGCGCGGCTTCTGAAATTATTTCCTCCGCGAAAACTGAGAAACTTTTATCCAATATCCGCGGCAGCATCTGGCATCAAACGGTTCTATGCGCATGTCTCTATGGGGTTTCGGAAAATGTTCACTAGTACTACTAAGAGAGTGAGAGTGAGTGTGAGAGAAAGAGAGAGAGAGAGAGAGAGAGAATCAAGAGAGAGGCAACGGTAAACTGTACAACCCATTGGCTTCTAATTGAATCTTACGGCATCCACGCGGGTTCTGACACTTTAGGCACGTGGCGTAAAAGACCACTTTGCACTTCGGGATGAGTCTGTGAATTAACTTATCGACAATTACTATAGGCACTTCTCTCGAAGTTTATTCATCAAACTATCGAAGAAATAAATCAAAAGATGATCCCTCGTAAAGTTCAGTAACAAATAAACGTATGCGCAAATAATATATTTACATTTGTTAAGTACATATAAATTCTTTATATGCTGTGTAACAATGTATAACAAAGTGTTAATATTTAAACAGTGTAAATTTTATATTTTTTAACACACAAGCAATTGTAAAGATGACAGATTGTAAAAGCATGACTAGATATATATTCTCTCGCAAGGGAAGTGCGACATAGAAATCGTATTTGATTTGAAACGAGAGGAAAGTAATTATTTCTGGATTTGATATCTCTTGCGTCATCCGAAATATTGGAAACAAAAGTGAAGGTGATCTTCTTCCCGTTACCCCGGTAGAATATATATTTTCTGTCTGATAATAGATTTTTCCCTTTACATGCAGAACGTTACATATATGCCCGAATATGCCGACCTAGTTCGGCTTGCGGAATTGCTGGCTCGCTCGCAGTATAGGCAGTCGATTTATCGTTTGATTAAAAAAAAGTTAACCGAACTTTCTGATAGCTTTGATGCAACTGAATGGTCAATTTGTTTGATTTCCATTGTCGATACGTAGTTACTATATTCATTGTTACATATTGCAGTTTTGCATATTTAGCAATATTCAACTATGATTATATTTACAAATTTTTGTAAATGTGCTATTACACAGTTTCGTATATCCTGTTAGAAAAGTTTCAGAAATCCAGAATTCCAGGAAAGATCTAATAAATTTTCGAAATTCTATCATAAAAAGTAAGAACTCACATCGATCGTTCGCTGGAGTACACTATGCGTGTAGTAATAATTTTGTTTATAGCACGATGGACTTGCTTTTTTACGACATCGAGAATTATCGTCAATTTTTGCAATAATGCCGTGCGAAAGTCTTTTATAATGTACTTATATTGTATATCGCGAAGAGTGATACTATTTTAAATTTTTACTGGCACTTTGTATGAGCGTATAGAGGAATAATGACAGCACTGCACTGCATTAAATTTCACTACCGTAGAAAATAGTAGGATCAAATGGAATAGCGCTTCGTCGTGCATCTTAATTGGCTTCTTGTTCCTAACGAAGTAGTAGGATTTAATTTATGTCGCAAGGAAACGGACAGAACAATGCCTCAGATGCGTAATGACACTCTATCTATTGTTATAGTTGCACTTGCAGTTTACGTTTCTTACGACCAATATAATACACAGATAGGCTTTTAAAAGCATGAAGAGTATATATATACACATAGAAGAGCCTTCAAGTTGCCTAAAACATGATCTAAAATTCAATTAATCTTTTAGCTTGCACATTGATGCAAGTTTACGAATTTAACATGCATTATATTAAGGCGCATGCAGTAGGACAGCCGCTTTAAGCTCTTAAGTTTTTCCGCATACTAGCAGCCGCAATCTGCAGACGAAGGGATCTTTTTGCTGCAACGCCCTTAACAGCAAACGACAAAAAAGGTCTATTCGTATTGCGTAATAATATCGCACCCGCCTTACTTCTCGCCATCTCAGCCCCATCCCTTTTGTCCGTCGATGAAACTGCGGTAGCCCCAAGGTTACGAGACACAATGAAGCTTTATTTCTTCTTTAGCTCTATATGTATATATGTGTGTGTGTATGTGTGTGTGTATAAAAAGAAGCTGCGCGCGAGCTTTATTAGCTCGTCATATATTTTGGTGCGTCGCCCTTCGTCAACCCAGTTTAGTAGCGAATCGAGAAGGGCGAGAGAGATAGGTCTTTCTTCTCTTTTTTCATATAAAACAAAAATTGCAGCGCCGATTTCTATTCCACGGTAGTATTCCGTGCACGAGATAGATGAACAAAAAAAAACAATATTGTATTGTTGCTAAAAAGCGAACTATAGTCGTGGCTCTATGAATAGGTACATACATGTCGCTAAAATATTATTTCCTCAATTTCAAAAGAATGAGTTATTGTCGGAAATCATTACACTACAAACATTCGCATTAAGGAATTTATTATGTATATATATATATATATGCATGGCATTATTAGACAATGGTTTTCTATTCAGATTAGTTTATGATTCTGACTATCTCGTTTGGATTAATTCTTTTTTATTATTTTTTGTAGGGATTTTTTTATGGATTATTGGTGTTCATTATCTTCAAGTATATTTTTAAATACATTTTATTTAAATAATTTGATTTCACAATCAAACAATTACAATGAGCTAATATTGTTTTAGGGTGAACATCTTTATTAAAAAAAACTTATTTTATTGTTTAATTAATATTTACCTTAGTGTAACTGAGATTAGTTCATGCCTATATATATAATTCCAGACCCTCTGCGCGCGATTCACTCTATAGTCAAATCCTATCTATTTCACAAGCTTCTCATCTCGAATATACGTGGATAGGATTTGGGGTTGTCGTCCTATCACTTGGTCGAATCCTTCGAGCTAGTTACATAGAGAGAAACGGGATATATATATGCTGAATGCGTCGTGTGTGCGTGTGTACGCAATGCCTACCAATGTTGGAATTTGCCGTCCGCTGCTATCTATGCTGCTTCAATATGTGCAGTGTATTGATTACTGTATCTAAGACGCGAGTAAATAGCAAAACTCATTAATTTAATGAGTAAATATGGAGAAGTTTCTTTGATAATTTATTTTTTTCGTGTACTTGCTGCATGCATCAAAATTGATTTGCAAAACTGTTGATTTCCTTCAGAAGAATGCACAAACGTGTTGTGATACTTATCACAATTATTTCTCACATACTTGAGAATTCTTTGGTAAAAAGCTGAATAAGTAAGGCAACGACGAAACTGAGGATGCCGTTTCAAGTCCTGTCGTACGATAGAAGCCATAAAGGTACAAAGAATGGAGAAACAGAGCTACCTAGGACAAAGTAAGAGGGTGAAAATGGGGCGAAAGGCAGAGAAAGAGCCGAGATAAATGTGGAAGCGAGCTCACCGTAAAACCGGTCGAGAAATAAAAAGGTCGTTCCTCGGCTCGTGGCCCAGATCGTTTCGCAATGGGGATTACCTACGGTATGTCATATAAAATGGCCGAAGCCATCCCTCACGCGTATTTCCAACGTACCATAGAATCCCCCCTTACGAAGAATGAGAGAAAGATGTGACTCTGACTGTTTAACTCTCTGACAACATCTAATGTACGATTAAACGTCGTAATAAAGATATCATTGACGGCGCTATTTAATTTAACACACCCGGGACATTTACAAATTTATTAGATTGTGTATACTCTATCAATTAATTGGAGAATAATAATTGTCGACACTAATCACGAATACCTTCCATAACTGTTATTCTCGTTAATTACGTAATTAGATTTTTATTGGAAAGAGGGGGAGTTTACCGCGCGCGTATGTATATTTTATTGAAATTGAAGCAATTTAGTATCAATTGCGACAATGTAATCAGTGGTATATTTACTAATAACGTTATGATAAAACAGTTATTAATGCAATTACTAATTAATATCTAGTAATAGCGGACACTGCTTTGTATATACAATATAATATGAGAGAGTTGAAAATATTAAAATATTATTTATAATAAAGTTTTGTCCAGTTCTCTCTCTCTCTCTCTCTTCAATTTAGAAAAAAAAAAATTTTTTTACAAAATTCAATCCTTATAAGTACATATTATATATATGTACTCGTATATATATGTGCACGCGATATATATTTCATTTATTTAATAAATATAGAAAAAATTTATAAATTTACAAATTTCTATTTTATTGAAGCTATAAGAATGTCATGTAAAATGTTTTTTTTTAACATGCTCGTTTTTTTTAATACGCTTTTTTAATATGCTAATAAAATTTATTTTTCATAAACAATTTAAATTGCTCCAATTAAGTCATTCTTAAACTACGAATGCATTTATTGATATTTAAAATTTATTAGCTTGTGCTCAGTAATTTAGTTTATGTAATTCACACTAATTTGATAAACAAGCCTTTCTTGAATATCAAAAGCAGTACCACAGTAAGGCAGGATACACCAGGACGTAAACGCGAACTATTGCTTTCCAGATTAGGCTTGGATGCACGTTCACCTCCTTAGTGTCAAACTACCTAATCTAATGCAGCGGCGGTTTCCTTAGAGGATTCATGAAACTGAAGTTCACCTTGCTGCTGCGATAATTATTGCCTGTGGCAATATAAAGCAAAGCACGTATTGTTGCGCTTATAGACTGCGCCCGTGCATATTAACCGTGACGTATCACGGAAGTCGTGGTGATACGGCGCCTGCTAAGTTTGAAAGCATTTCGCTGTTTTGTGCAATTTAATGTCATTAATGCGCAGAGATGATATATGGTTCATTCATGAATCAACGATCACCGAAGACCCATACTCTCTCGAAACGTTTAAATCAATCGTTCACATATGTACCAATGTTGCATAGATTAATATAGGCGGTATAATTTTTATATTATTATTTTATATCATAACCAAAAAGTTTACAATAACTTATAATAGATAACATATAGATAATAAGTTTTATAAATATCTAATTATTTTTTTAAATTCTAATCTAACGGATTTTTATTGTGATACACATATTTACAGTTGAAATTAATTAATTTTATGGATTATTTCAGATTTTATTTCCTATTGGACTAGATTCCTAAGTCCGGTGCTTCAATGAAAGTGTAAAACGACAATTCGACATACTTGGTCGCAACCTGGGCGTGCGGTGAGTCCTGTAATTTTTTTCTTAATCTTTAGCAAGTTGTTCCACTACTATTACAGAATGTAAAATGTTAGGTTATGTTGTTTGCAACGACTAGTGTTGCGTTTTATGATGCCCTGGATTTATCAAACTATAAATTATGACTTTATTTCGAAATTTTTATAGTTGCGGTTGAAACGCTGTAAATATGCTTTTATTATCATTTTATGTACGTAATACGTTCTTCGACATTTTGTCTGATTATTCTTACTATTTTTTGGAATATGTGACAAAAATTCCTGCGTAATAACAAGTAAATTGTCAATTATAAATTTTATGAAAGGGAGGGGATTTCATTATTATGTATAAAATTGTTTGTTATGACAATATAATCGCTATTTTGTAATAAGTATTCAAACATAATAGGGATTAAATAACAAAAGCTTTTAAAAGCTTTTAGAATGAGTATTACAACTAATTAAAAGGATTGCGAGCAAAACTATTTTCATTAATATGCATAAATCATTATTATTGATGAATAAATGTTTTGGATGATATAATTGAATTTTTTTGTTAAAATGTTACTAATTGTATTTAGAGATAAAGATGATATACGATAAACTATCAATTTATCTTTCACTGGATGATCAATATCGGTTTTGTACTTGTAATACTTCCTAATGCGCGTGTCAACATTTACAAACGATGGTGCATTACTATTGGTGGTAAATTTATTGTGTAGTAATTTATAATTATGTTCCGAGTAAAACGTCTGCATGCCGGAACGATTGTAAATATCGCTTTTGTGAATATGAATTATTTTATAATGAACGTAACAATATGAATTATTCTCTTATATATATTGTGGATATTTAAAGTCGCGACAATAAAATCGCATTGTTAGATTTAATGAAGCAGAAATACATAGTTTCTGCTATGCAAAAGTAATCTACACAAATCCCTCTGAATATAAACTAACGATAACATTATAGCAACGTTATAATTATCTACTCAACAGCGTAAGTGTTATATACAACATGTATTATATTACATTTATACTGTTAAATGGGAAAATTATAATATTTATATTTTGTTACTGTGTGTGTGTGTGTGTGTGTGTGTTAGTTTGGATTTTGCAAGATGTTTGCTTTAAGAAGAAGTTGCTATGCATATATTTATATTTTGTCTTTATATGTAAAATAATATCTCATTTCTATAATTATATACTTTTGTTTTACTTATATATTTATAAGTAGTTAATTTATCTTGTAAAGCATAAAGAAGGACTGCTTCTTAAGATAATAGACTATTCGGTCAATTTAGAGAGGATTAACTTTTTCTTCAAAAATATACAAAAAGTTATCATTATTGTAATTGCCAATTTTACATGAAATTGATATTCTATTAAAATGCATTTGTTTTAAAATTTGCTGAAAATGTAAATTTTTTATCTATTTAACTCTCTAAAGTTTAAATTATAAAAAGTTTTTTTTTTAAATTATCTATAATTTGAAAATTAAAATCTTAATAATTTCTTGAAAAGAAGTTTGACTCCACAAATTGGCCAATGAATTTTTTAAAGGCATATCTAAAGTTTTTCTGGAAGATCATATATGTATATTTATTAAATGAAATAAAACCTTATATCGATCCAAACGCATTTCGATATATCACAAATGCAAAAGAGGAATACAATTTTGAGGAATGCAATGCAATGGGAACGACATGTTATATAAACTGTATAATATAAATTACAAGTGCAGTTGACATCAAGAAATGCTTTATTTTGTGGATGTGTTGCTGATCCACAATGTGTTTAACGTAAACATTCAATATTTTCCGCGAATGCTGACGGTGGAGCTAACGCGTCTTTCCATCGAGCGATATGATAAGCGTGGGATAAGTGGCATTCTCCGTAGAAGCTTCGAAATTAATTCCAAGCAAGAAGCCCTTCGTCGTTGCGCTCGTCCTTACCCCACAGCCTTCCGCAAACATACGGGAGCGGTCTGACGGATATAGCCCGGGCTAAACTAACCTAGTCTAACCCAACCGAACGCAAAGCACCGAGGTTGTCCTCTCACCGCGTGCAAGGTGCAGCCTACTGTCTATCTGAAGCTGCCACGAACCATCAGGAACGAGATATCAGCCAGGGAACAATTCCAATCAATTTGAGGCGGATGTATTCGTCCGACCCCAACCCCTTCCAACCCCCTTACACTGGTTGCTCGTGAATCGGCCGATATGACGAGAGTACATCCAAGAGCCCCCACAAGGTATACATACTGTATACATATAATCGACCACGAATCGAGATGCTATTGGAACAATCGGATTTGTCGTTGATCGCGCGGCCTCATGGAAGATCCCCAGATAGTTAACTGTTTTGTTGACCGCAGAAGTATTAGGGATCTATATATGTACACACACACACACACACACACACACACACACACACACACACACACACACACACACACACACACACACACATATATATATATATATATATATATATATAAACCACGATAAGTTGGGAGGGTTGTCGGATTAGAAATTTTAGTAGGACTTCGAAGGCTTTCGTATTCGAAGACAGTATTGGTCCAGACGAGATACTGAGATTTTATTTTTAGTCTAGAATATTGTCATTTGGAAGTTCCACATTTTGTTGAGCTTTTTTTCAACATTTCCCGATGATTTGCAATGATTGTCTTTAGATTGTTTTGATTCTACTATTTTTAATTGATTAACAGAAATTAATGATATTTTTTTCGTAATTCTCGTTTTATTTATAAATCTATGAATCAAGTTCTTCCATCGACTATTCTTATACTATAGTCAATTCGATCATAAAACTTCTTCGTAATTGCACGTAATTTGCATTTTAATCATAAACTGGAGTAATGATGCGGAATAAAGTTTGTGTAACTGCTATATCAGTAGAAAAGCTCTTGATATGTAATGAATGACCAAGTATTATTTGAATCATTTGTCCGTTTCGGCGTCAGTAAACGAGGCGCCTGTTGGCGAGTAGTGTCATCAAGAGAGTATACTTACAAAGCAGACGATATGTGTACGCATGCTCGTAAATCACGATGTTTAACATCCATCTAGTTGGTGCCGTTAAAGTAGTCGCTACGTATAGCCGGGCGATAAAATATTTACGTCTCCCATCGCAGAGCTGTCGCGGTGAGCTTCGAATTGGCTTTGAAATTGGCGTTCGATCCACCGAGATCCGCGCAAAAGTTAGTGCTGTTTGTCAGCCACGAACGCGCAATCCTGTATTTTGATGTGTTCACGCCGACATACACACATACGTGCATCGATGGAATGTTCGCAATAGCGCGACGCTGGCATTGAAGTTTTCATGCTCCAACGACTTTTTCCGGAGCCGCGAAACCTTGTATACGATCCAGCTGTATGTGGAACGATAGCCGCGTGTAGCATACTAGACCGAAGACGGTCTTTAATTCAAGGAAGCACGTGCCTGGTGTAAAGCTCGAGACCATTACGTAGCTTGAGGCACGTGGACTACAAGAGAGTAGGGAGGGATTGTAGTGCAGCACTTCGTACAGAGTAAAATTGCAGCGACTACAACGACGACGACGACGATGAGGACGACGAGGATGAGGACGAGGACGATGGTGTTCTCGGTCTCGATCCGATCGGATCGGACGATGGTATGACTTCGATTTTCGATACTCCAAAAGTATCTTCTTTGTGTGTCGCGACGAGATAGAAGCGGACTGTGAATTTACAAATATACGAGTGGTAGCGAGTAAGAAGAAAGGATTACGGGTCAACCGGGAACAGAGGTCTCAGGGGAGATACCGGAGAGAACGTTAGGTATATACCTAAGTCAAGAGAGAGGACTTAAATAATCAATCGCCTCCACGAAGGCTGTAGGTAAAAGCCTATAGCGTCGGTCCTTGGGCGAAGTGTTTGCGCATCCTTCGTTTCTACCTTTCCTTCGCGTTTTCTTCTTTCAAGATCGTCCCTCTTTCTACTCTTTAATACAACCTCCTTTTCTCTATCTCAGCCCAACACCTTCCGCCTTTCTCGCCGCGTTCACATTCTACTTCAGAAGAAGCTGGGTGCACACAAAGAGACTCCCAAGTTGAGTTTTATGGCCGAGAAGGTCGACTTACTTGGTTTATGAGAGTGACCGTAACACTGTCCTTCGTAAATTCTACTCGATCGTAGGATCCACGAAAGATGAGGACCTAGTTTCTTAATGCTTTAGCAGTTTTATTGAATTTCCTTCAAAATGCGAATTTGATAATCCGGTTCTCGTTCGTGCTCACATCTGCTTCTTCTCTTTATTGACCGTGTAAAAACTTTTATGCGCTAAGAAAATTTGGTATTCCTTTTTTACATTAATGAGCAGGATGTTATTTTCATGCTGCTATCATAATTATTTATTAATACTGTGACATAATATCTTATTTTTAAAGCATAGATTTATTTTTATATTATATCTCTTTCGAACTTATACGTAAATTACAATTTATTAAGAAATTGAATCATAATATTGTATTGAATTTCATAACAAAAACATGAAATTCGCATAAACAGCTTTTATAAAATGTCAAATTTGCTAGATTTGTGGCTTAAGGAAACTCACTGGAAAAATTTTGAAAGTAAACTTTTAAGATCTGATGCTTAATGCCTGGCGAACGCCGGCTGCTTTTACTCGCAATTAGGAATACCAGCAAAGGATGCTACAAGGTAGTAAATGTCATTTGTGTTATGCCAGTGTTGGACACGGTTTTAAACTGGTGATTAGAGATTTCAATTCGTGCCCTGCATTTGCGCTATTCGTTAGAAATTAACGCGCGACGTAATCGCGAAGACTAGAGGCTCATCCGGCGCGGCAACGAAAGGGACAAAGACGCCTTGGGAGGATGGGTTAATTCTACATAGAGCGTGGGTTAATTTGGAAAACGTGCTTCCCGGATTGTTGCTATGGAAATGAGAGCGTTCGTCCTCACGTTCCCCTTATTCTCGGAGTACGACTTAATCTCGAA